TCTCTGGAATAAACTAATGTCTATATTAAAAATTGAAGATGAAGTTTATTAGTTTTTTTGAAGAAGCCCATGATATTACAGTAGTTTTATATATATATATATATATATATATATATATATATATATATATATATATATATATATATATATATATATATATATATATATATATATATATATATATTCAACTTTGTTTTTTTCCATATTATTTTGGATATTTAAAATCTTGTAAATTAATGAAAATATGATAAGGGTTATACTAAAACCTATTACTTTTGGGAAATTGAGTAATGTAACCCTTATAAACGACCATTTTAACAAAAATAACAAACTTTTTTTTGGTAAAATGACCATTTGCTCCGGAACATAGCATTCCGGAGCGGTGATCTTCGTTCCAGAGTATCTATTCCGGAGTTCCTAATCCGTATTATAATCTCAGTCTTTTTTATTTTCGTCTCCTATATATATATATATATATATATATATATATATATATATATATATATATATATATATATATATATATATATATATATATATATATATATATATATATATATATATCTGTGTGTGTACATATGCGCTTAGAACTTTACATTCAATAAAGTAATTCATAATTATTTCTTATAAAAGTGTTTGAAAATGAGTTTCTCAAAGAGTTAGCCCGAAGAAAACTTTAACAGTCTGCCTGTTTATCTTCACAACCTTAGACAAACCAACATGTATACTTACACTCACATCAAAACTAATTTGATGGATCGTTTCGAAGCTTGTTTTGTGGCTATTCGATGGGTGGTATATTTGTTTTTTTTTTTGCACTTTTCTATTGTTTCTTTAAAATATATAATGTTTCTACATCTAAATTAATTCATTTTCTTCCCAAAAAAATATAGATCCATGCATTCATAGGTTGCTTATTGTCCATCATCTTCATATGCAGTGTCCATCTTAGACAGGATTACCTAAAAACAATGTTTGTAACGGTTGCTATCAACAGGAACAACCAAACCCTCCCTATAGAATTTTGTCTGGCCATGGAAAATAATCTCTACTGTTGTACCTGGTTCCTTATGAGGTTAAGAGAAGCTTTGAGACATGGTGGGGAAGTATCATTCATAACAATATGAACGATGTCGTTAGTTCTTGCATAGAACATGTATTCCTTTATTCTTATCATGGTTATACTTCTAAAAGTGTGCTTAAGTATATGCACACAAGAGGCGTATCTGGCAGAACATTACAACCTTTGTTCTTAATGACATCCGCCTCATTACTATGTATGATTTTGAAGAAAACATATGTCGACTGACCCCTGATGCTCGTGAAATTCTTACCAACATCGATCATGCAAAACGGGCAAGAGTCTATTTCCCTAACATCCGTTGGAATGTAGTCAACATTGATGTTCCCCATTTTTTTGTGTTATGGGTAAATCGACGCAATGTACTGATAATAATGCTTACCGAGTCAATTCGTGACTATATTCAGTGGACTTTCCATGAACGCAGATTAATAGCAAGTAAAATACCAGGTGAAATATTAAATTTATGTAAATACTTGTACAATAACCTTATTTGATCACATTTACTTTTCAACGAGTTTGACTACTGTAATCACCTCGTATGCTGAAATGGTGCTTCATAAAAGGATGCAAAAGTCTGTTCGGATGGCAAGCAACAAAGATCCCGCCAGAGATCCTGTGTTTTTTATTTAAAAAAAATTATGTTGTTAATCTGAACTGTCATACATGTTCTTGCGGGGAATGGTGATGTTTGGGTATAGCTTGCGGTCATGCTATTGCAACATCACGTCATTTGAACATCCATGAATTACCTGATATGGTTCATATATATTATTATATTACTAGATTGAAGTGTTACAGACTGCCTACCAGACACACACCGTGCACCCTCTTCCACCTCCATCAGATTGGGAAATATCAAACCCTTTGATTGCAATTTTATTATCAATGCAATTGTAATTAATTACATTTGTAATTGATTTGCAGTGTGTAATGAAATATATTATTATTGCCCTAATATTTGTTACAGAAAAAACATAATTTACAAGTACCATAGTAACACTAACATCAAGAAAACATTACATATTAAAAAGATTAATAAGCGTTACAAAAGGGAAACTTAGTTGATGAACATAAAGCTTACAACTTGTAAACAACGATTCCAAAAAAAAAACAAAAAAAAAAAAAAAAAAATCCAACTACAAATTAACGTTATCTTCAAGTGTATATTTTGGGTTTTAAGTTTCTTCTTCGATTGAAATAAGTTACTGATTATCACCGAATTATTGTCTTTTGCTTTGTCAACCCAATAAATAAACCCAAATTGTGGTCCCTGAAAATTAAAGATCAAACACATGACGTATATTGTGTAAATTTATATTAATTCAAAGAAAAATAATAAATTGATAACCGACATACCTTTTTAAGACAAGCGTAAAAAAGTTGTTCAAGTTTATTTCTAGTAGTTGATGTCCTTATAATAACTTCAGCGCCACAATCGCAGTATGTCATTTCTTTGGATTACGACAAATGAATTTTTAATAGTATATTTAACAACATAAAGAGTTTGGACGCTTGAATTCCTTTATATAATGACATTTACTAGGGTTATGGTTCCTGACACTATTCTAGAAACACATTCTGATATTTCAGACCCTAATTCCGGATCAATCATTGTCTTAGATTCCTAACACATGAGTAGTCATTCCAAAGAGTAAAAGTCAGAGATTCCTGACATTTGTGTAGTCATTCTGAATAGTAATTTTTTCATAGATTCTTGACAGTCTCTCGGACCAGCTCTTTCGGACCATTGTTCCGGAGCCACGTTCCGCACCAACTATTTCGGAGCTAGGTTCCAGACCAGCTATTTTTGTTCCACATTTTAGAATTGATATTTTGGACCATAATTTCGGAACAATAATTTTCATAGATTCATGACATATATGTAGTCATTTCCCAACAATAAAAATATGAGATTCCTGACAGTATGCGTAGTCATTCCGAACAGTAAATGTCATAGATTCCTGAAAGTATTTCGAAACTTTTTTCCGGAACCCTATTCCGGATCCGAAGCCACTTTCTGGAATGGCTATTTCGGACACTTGTTTTTCGACCTTAAAATACACCTAGCATGAATCCTCAATGTTGAAATAAATTTGGAATAAGTTCATCTCATGATGGTGTTTGGCATTGTGAAGAAGAAGATTGTTATGTTTGTTCATATAATAACCCGTTTCCAGAAGACCCAAATTTCCCACTCCCGGATAAAATGTTTGATGACGTTTTCCAAGTTATGAAGATTGCTGAAGAAGCAAACAAAATGGACTCTAAAAGAAGTCACACACTAAATATACATATATATGATCTAGCGGAACAAGTAAATGAAAAGAAAAATGAGTTGTAGAAGCGATGAAAGAAGTGAACAATGCTAAGAAGTGGATTGAAAATGCAAATAAGGAGATCAATAAGTTGTGTGCAGAACAGGACCATCTAATAAATGTTGTTAGAATTAAAGAATATTTTATTGATCGGGAACAAAATATGTACCCTTTAAAATTTCCTGATTTGTGGAAACCAATCAAACTTTTAACATCCAATTTAATATAATCAAGTATTCAACGACTAAATGTAATCAATTTGATGGCCGAATAAGTAAAACTCATCTGAAATTAGAAGAGAGAATTAATCCACTCTAATAAATGAATGTTTTTTTTGTCACTTGTAATATTCTAATTTAATTTGTCAAATGTCATTTTGTGGTTATTTTGAATTAACTTTTTTTCCATATATCATTTTATAAGTTTTTTTTTTTTTTTTTTTTTTTTTTTTTAATTTCACATAATATTTTAATATAATAATATAATAATTGCAACAAATATAATAATAAATAGATATCTATATCATTAATGAACTTACATTTTAATTTTAAAATTCTCAAAATTAAAATGCATTAGTTTTTTTGTTTATTTATTTAAATTATTTGTTTAAATTTAAAAGATAAAAAAAACATTTCCATTATAATAATTCATTATTTTCTTATAATTTCAAAGTTTTTAAATATTTAAAATTTTATATTTATTATTTTTTTTTAAATTAACCCAAATAGGGGTGTCAAAAAAACCCAAACCGATTAACCCGACCCAACCTGAACCAGAATAAGGTAATTAGGGTTGGGTTTAATAGGGTTAGAACTCTTAACCAGGTTATTCGGGTTAACCCGAATTGTTTTTAGGGTTAGGTTTAAGATTGATTTTTTCAAAACAATTCGGGTTTCAAGTCAACCCGATTAAGAATTTATTACCAAAACTTTTTTTACTGCGTTGAATGACATGAATTCAAGTTCCCATAAGATTTTACAACTAATACATATTTCTTATTTAAACAAACCAGAGAGTAAAATTACTATGTATAGAGATGTATAAAATGGTATAACTTTTCTCTCATCTTAATGCAGTACGGTTGTTTTGTAATAATTTTACCAATTTTATTCATTGTTTACATTACTAATATGGTAAAAGAAACTCCAAAAATTCATATCGTATACCAACTTTACATTTTAAGTCCATATACATGTGGATTGTGTATTAAAATGACACTACATAAATTCATCTTACATTTCAACATCAACCCGACTAATATGATTAACCCGACCCTACTAACCCGAAACCCGATTAACCCGAACCTGACTAACCCGTACCTTACTAGGGTTGGGTTTCGGGTGAATATTTTTCTAGAAAAATCCGATTAACCCGACCCATTTAACCCGAAACCCGATTAACAGCCCTACAAACAACCCATTGTCCGATTCATTACCCGATTAAAAGTGGACTGGGCTTAACTTCTGTAGGTTGGGCCAGCATTAGCTATTGCGGTTTTTTAATTATCATAGCTTGATTTTTCATTCAGAGTAGAAGAGCAATATATTTGGCGCGTATGTATTGCTTTTGAGACCCCAGTCTCCATATTCCCAACCTATTACATGAATAAATTGATCGTTCCCTTCTCTGAAAATCTTACTTCTATCAATGGAGGAGTCGTTTCTTCATTTATATCTCTTATACAAAACCCTATCTCTCTCCGTTTTCTTTCAACATCTACAGCAACCCCAATTACGTCAACGTCTGTTCTTTCATCATCATCGGAAGAAGTTTTTGATATGACTTCACACATAATCCAAGAAAAAGATCTTCTGAGGAAATCCCCAAACGGTGGGTTACGTGTGCTGGACCTGATTGATCACGGGTTTTTAGAACCAGACGCTAAATTATACAGCCAAATGCTTAACAAGTGTACCCAATTGGGAAAGGTTAAGGAAGGAAAAATGGTGCATACACATTTTATGACCTCAAAGTTTAGCCATTATCTGGTGATTCAAAATACAGTCGTAAACATGTACGCGAAATGCGACTGTTTGGATGATGCACGCGAGGTGTTTGATAAAATGCCTGTGAAAGATATGGTGACTTGGACTGCTATAATTACTGGGTACTCTCAGAACGATAAACCAGAAGAGGCGCTTATTTTGTTTCCACAAATGCTTAGACTCAATTTAAAGCCAAACCATTTCACATTCTCCAGTCTTTTGAAGGCTGCTGGAGCTAGAGGCAATGAAAGAGAAGGAGAACAGATTCATGGATACTGTTTAAAATACGGGTACGACTCAAATGTCTATGTGGGTAGTGCACTTGTAGACATGTATTGTAGGTATGAAAGAATGTCAGAAGCACATTTTGTTTTCAATCAGTTAGAGGACAAAAATGAAGTTTCTTGGAACTCTCTAATTGCTGCACATTCCAGAAAAAATGAAGGAGATAAAGCCCTTTTACTCTTTCAAAAGATGCAAATGGATAATTATAACCCGACCCATTTCACTTATTCAAGTCTTTTAAGTGTTTGTGCAAGCACCGGGTCACTAGAGCAAGGAAAATGGATCCACGCCCACATGGTCAAATCCGGTCAAAAGCTCATAGCTTTCATTGGCAACACCCTTGTTGACATGTATGCAAAATCAGGTAGCTTTGATGATGCTATAAAAGTCTTCAACAGGTTAACAAAACCAGATGTTGTTTCATGGAATTCCATCCTTACTGCATATGCACAACATGGGTTAGGTGTAAAAACTTTACAACATTTTGAAAAAATGATCAAAACCGGAATCCAACCGAATTCAGTAACTTTTTTATGTGTTCTAACTGCTTGTAGCCATGGTGGACTGTTAGAAAAAGGAGAATTTTATTTCAAAATGATGAAGGAATACAATATAGAGCCTGAAGTCTCGCATTATGTGACAATGGTTGATTTACTTGGTAGAGCAGGTAAACTTGATGTTGCTTTGAGTTTTATTACGAAAATGCCCTTTGAACCCAATACAGCTGTGTGGGGAGCTTTACTTGGTGCTTGTAGGATGCATAAGAACATGGAATTAGGCGCTTATGCTGCTGAACGGGTTTTTGAACTCGACCCGTTTGACTCGGGTCCCCATATTTTATTATATAATATATACGCGAGTGGTGGTAAATGGAACGAGGCTTCAAAAGTTAGAAAGTATATGAAAGAAATTGGTGTAAAAAAGGAGCCTGCTTGTAGTTGGGTGGAGATTGAGAACTGTGTGCATATGTTTGTGGCAAATGACCAAACTCACCCTGAGAAAAACAAGATTTACAAAAAGTGGGAGGAGATGAGTGAGAGGATCAAGGAGATTGGGTATGTTCCGGATACAAGTCATGTTCTTTTGTTTGTTGATGAGCAAGAAAGGGAAGCGAAACTACAATGTCATAGTGAGAAACTTGCTTTGGCGTTTGCAATTACGAAATTGCCCCCGGGGTCAACCATTAGGATCAAGAAGAATATTAGAGTGTGTGGTGATTGTCATTCGGCTTTTAAGTTTGTTTCTTTGGTGGTTGGGAGAGAGATTGTTTTAAGAGACAAGAATCGGTTTCATCATTTCAATGGTGGATCTTGTTCTTGTGGTGATTATTGGTAAAACCATAAATCTCAACATATAGAGGTTATAGTTTATAAACGTAACATGAGCCCTACATTTTAATTGTAGATCTATAACTTAATGTAATTCAAGAATTATTCCTCATGAATTTTTTTCGTATATTGAGATTGTATTGATTGTTTGCTTTGGGCTAGAATGCCTAGGAGGCTACGACTAATCATATTTTTGTATGTTTTGTACTTAAAATGTTTGATTTACGATGTTGGACTATCACAAGTGACTTGTTTTCTTTCTAGTTTAAATTTTATTTCAATTATTAAAGATAAATAAATATTATAGGTATTGTTAGATATGAAGCCAATGAAAAGTTTTAACAATTTTAAAAAAATACGAAAAGACAAATTGTGGTGTTATTTATGGTAATTGGCAAAACATGCATTCATGAATCATACCATTTTGATTCTCCTATGCTAATGCTAACCAATACATTCAAAAACAGTTGTATCTTCATCTACATCATGCTGCTTCTTCATCTTTGATGAAACACGATTTAGCATCCAATAAATTTCATCACATCTCGGATGTGATCTGTCATCCACAATAAACTTATAAACTTCACTTCCTTGTTGAATAAAGCTATACCCAGCTGCCTTCATGATTTCAGAACCCTTCATCACCTTCCTCAACTTTGCAACTCCATCCCACCTCCCTGTATTCGCATATATATTGGATAAAATTACATAATTGCCCGCGTTCCAAGGCTCCAGTTTGTACAGATGTTGAGCTGCTATCTCACCAAGCTCAACATTCTTATAAAAACTACATGCCCCAAGAAGGCTTCCCCATACAACTGAGTCTGGTTTCATTGGCATACTTTTTATAAGATTGTAGGCTTCTGTAAGCTCTCCAGAACGCCCAAGAAGATCAACCATGCATCCATAGTGTTCAAGTTTTGGAATGATGGAGAATTTTTCCTCCATTGATTTGAAAAGTTCCCATCCTTTCTCCACCATTCTCCTTCCTCCATGGGTGCATGCAAGGATTGCTCCCACAAATGTCACATCATCTGGTGGCATTATGAGTATCATTTGGTGGAAAAGCACAAGAGCTTCATTACCTTTTCCATGAACAGCCAAACCCATGAGCATAGTATTCCATGAGCACAAGTTCCTCCTTTCACCAATTTCCTCAAATATCTCCATACCCTTATCAACTCTACCACATTTGAAATACATTTCTAGCAACGCGTTACACACAAACAGATTCTTCAAATACCCATGTGCCCTTGCATACCTTTCAATCCTCTCTCCCACTTTCAATGCTCCAAGATTCGCACAGGCTGGAAGAGCACTAGCAACTGTGACTTCATTTGGAATTACTAAATTGTTTTTCTCCATTTCCAAAAACAACTTGAGACAACTCCTGTAATTCCCGTTCTGTGAGTACCCAGATATCATGGTTGTCCAGGAAACAACATTCTTTGTAGGCATTTCATCAAACAGCTTTGATGCTCCCTCCATATCCCCGTTTCTTGCATACCCTGCTATCATGGAATTCCAGGTGGGAACATCTCTGATCTCCATTTTGTCAAACACTTGGCGTGCAAAAGGTAAGCAGCCTAGTTTTGCATACATGTCGACTAAAGCTGTGGAGGCGTAGAGATCAGATTCATAACCTGATTTCACAAGATGAGTGTGGAGAAACTGAGCTTGGTTAGGAGGCATGTTTAGTGTGGCAGAAGCAGAGAAGAGGGAGGTGAAGGAGTGGTGGTTAGGGGAGCAGCCATTGAGGCGCATTTGGGTGTAAAGCACAAAACATTTGTCACAGGGGCCATGTTTAGAGAAAGCTTGAATGAGTTTGTTGTAGTGGAAGACAGTTGGTTGAGGAATAAGGTCTAACACTTTGTGAGCGTAGGGTATGTTTGGGATTTCAAGAAGCTTGGTGATTAGGAATTTCGTGAAATCTATGCCATTGCGCAGGGTGTGGCCATGGATTTGTTTCAACTGCTTTTGGTTCATAACAGATTACAGATCACAGATTACTTTAACCATAAAAACAGGGGACAATGGCAAATATGTTATATGTCCACACATCCCTCTCAAGCATTTGTAATCCTTTATACATCCCTCTCAGGCATTTGATCAAACAGCTTGCCTGCAAGGCAACCATCCCAACTCAAATAAAAAACCATCATGAATATGATCCTTAAGAACACAAATTCGAACATCTAAAGATACAGAACATTATCCACATCAGATAACATATATGAACAACAAACACATCAGATATTATATATGAACAGCAAATCAGAAGTAGCAAACAAGTAGATGTGGCTATCAAAGGCAGAAAAAAAAGGAAGAAATCCACAAACAATAATTGGTAATAACTCCAACATCAATTGATAATCATGAATTTGGTAACACTTTATATCAAGAACGGCGATTTCAAAAGAAAGCAGAAAAAATGAAGAAAGATAGCAGGAAAAAGAAGAAGAAGAAGAAGAATGGAACCTGAGGTGGGTTGCAACGGTATAGCTGTGGCTATTAAGGTCTCCGGCCGGTAGCTTCACAGGAGTGGCGACGGCATGGCGATGAGCAGGGGAAGGAGGAGAGGCAAAGAAACGGCGATTGGGCTTGAATCGATTTTAAAATCCGTTTCTACATGAAAGTTTAACCGGGCCGACCCAACAGACCATTGTCATTTTTAACTGTTTCTGGGCCAAACCCAAGCCCGTTGGCTAACTGACTTGCCTGTGTTGCCATACTGTTTACTTTGTGCGTTGTGATATTGGATTGGGCCTCTTTTAGGCTAGGCTTTAGAAGGAGAATAGCATTGCTGAAATTATTTGTCAAATAGGGTCAAATAGTGAATGATGTAAAGTGAAAGCATTTTTTATTAGTTTAATGAAGATATGAAAGGTGTAGGAGAGACCACGTCGCCCACAATACAGACCATAAGAACCTCGTACACCCTAATATTTTTTATTGTTTATTCTCTGGTCCCTTGTCGATTTTTAATTTTCTTGAGGACCACCAAACTTTTTGAATGTCGGGAAAAAAGAATTGAAGTTTCATTGGATGACTTTTGTTATCAACTCAACTACATACGATTTAATTTTTAATAATAGTATAAACCAATTGATTATATTACTAGTATTAGATATTATTATTATTATTATTATTATTATTATTATTATTATTATTAAAACTTTAACTAACCACCTGTTATATTCTTAGTTGATTTTTAATTAATTTATTAAAAGTTAAAATATATAGTTAAATAAATGGAGATTGTTATTTTAATCTTATAAAATATCAAATATTGAGTCGTTCTATAAAGATATTGATTAAATACTATTTCTTTTATCTCTTGAAACCATAAACACAATTATAAAAAGATTAAATACTAGATAATTAAAACAACTTATATATGTTATAACTGTAGAAACAAGAATCAGATTATTCATGTGACTTTATACTAAGAATATATTGATATATGTTCATAATTTTATACCATCTTTTATTTGTTTAAATACTTATATATTTTTAAGTTCACAATATATTTTTACAATAATTCAAGCTTTTTGTTGATGAATCGATGCATTTTCAAGTACGATCATCATAACATTTAGATGGAAAAAAGCATATCATTTTCTTTTAGCTTTGGTTTTTCATACATGTATGATTAAGGAATCTGAATATCGCCACATTTAAGTAAGTGTCGTCTTCAAACACTTCTCTTTTGTTGTCCTCTTACGGAAAAAACGATGTGAATCATTCTGTCCTCTCATGAGATCAAAATGTAAAACCGCTACCGACAAACTGAAAAAGAAACTAACTTTTATATGGATATTTAAAATCAAAACATTATAATTTTATTCTAAGGAAGACACCAAGTGTATACAACATTTTGATTTTGAAATTATATTTTATTTTATCTCAATTAAATCATTAAGTTTTACATTTTTTTTGTAAATTTAACCAATCGACTAGTTTACTTAAAGTGTTTCATGTTTCTCATTTAGTGACAATACAAAAACGTAATGTGGCTTTTCCTATCTGAGTTGGCAAACATTTTAGTTAAATTGAAACCTTACGTGGATCTATACTCATTTTCCCTTATTTTTTGACAAAATTGCAAATTTGGTCTCTGTGGTATGTCAAAATTAGCATGTTTGGTCCAAAACGGGTTTGGCTTGCAAGGATGGTCCAATAGTTTCTATTTGTTGCGAGTTTAGTCTAATGGCTTAACAGTCGTTACCAAGCTCCCGTTAATTTACCAATGCCCCTCTCTCTTAAGGGTATTTTAGTCCATTCATCCCTGTAACCGTTCCCGCTAAAGCTCAATAAAAGAAGTTCGTCTCCTCAATAAAGTAGATCGCCGTTGTTTAACCAAGCTCAATAAAAGCCCTAGACACAAAATCAGTTATGTTAGTTAAGCTGCGATCTGTAGAGATTATCGGTGGATGAACATACCAATGTGGCACGTAAGATTGTTAAACACGCCTTTCAACCCCAAGGTTGTTTATGATACGTAATTTGCCCTTTTTCATCTTTAAATTTCTTGATTTTTTTGTTGAAGTAAGTCCACCTGAGGTGTTTTTTTTCTTGTTTTGAAGATGGACACCCAACATTGTTTACCATTAAGTTGTACCATGGAGGTGAGTTCACCAAGTACCCTGATGTCCGTTACATTGATGGAACTGTAAACTATGTTGACATGGTAGATATAGATGAGTTTTCAGTTCATGAGCTCGATGCAATCATGAAGGGTTTTAGATATGGGGTTCCTCCTGTTATATACTACCATTTTCTTGTGCCTGGTGGAGACTTCCACTTTGGTCTTCGCCCTTTAGGAAATGATCAAGATGTTGCAAACTTTTCTCAAAGTGATGAAGGTATACACAGAACATGGTGAAACAAGACTACTCACCTATTTCTTGAATCCTAAGCCTGTTACCAAGGTTACCCTTGTACAGTTAGATGAACCACATGAGGATGTGCAACACATTGATGAAGCTCTTGATGACCAATCAAAGGAAACACCTGTGATGACTACACCTACTGATAATTTAGTTGATGTGGTGCCCACTCAAGCAAACCAACCTGAAATCCAAGTCAATGAAATAGTTCAAGTCGTATCCTTGTCACTTGGATATAATAGGAGAAGGGTTATGAGCAAGGATGGAGTGATGGCATCTTGTAGTAAGAAAATATACTTTGATGATATTGGTGAGACCGAGCAGATAGCCAAAGACTTTGTTGAGGCAGCTACTGATTTTGATATTGGACTCTACCAACAAATACTACAAAGCAATGTTGATGGAGTCATTGGCACTGACATGCATGATGTTAATGAACCTCAGATGGATGAAGAAAACCAAGCTCAGATGGATTAAGAAAACCAAGCTAAGATGGATGAAGTAAACCAATCTCAGATGAATGACTTTTGGGATTTTAACTATCAAACTGATGCTTTTGTCCAAGATGGAAGTGAAAACCAACCTCAGTCTAACATAGATAGTAGTGGAAAAGAAAATGTAAGTGAGGTTGAAAGTAAAGAAAGAAGTGAAACAAAGCAAGAAGATGATAGTGATGATAGTGATTATTGGGTGGATGAAGATAATGTAATTGAAGATGTTGAAGTTGTTGGATTAGTGTCTAAGTCCGTAACTGTTTTGGTATGTACTTGACCCGATTATGAGCATGGTCCTTTTGGGTTGCCTTCACCATAGCAATATGTAGGATGATTTAAGGAGAGAAAGGTTTAAATATGATTTATTAATATATTATGAGAATAATATATTAAAGGAGAAATCATATTGTTTAATTAATATTGGTCAAGAATTAATTAAGAATTAATTTTGTGGTTAAAAGAGATTAATTAAACTTAGGGGACTGAAGTTGTAATTATAAGATAATTATAATTGGGCTATGGATCACCTAATAATATATAGGTTGAACGAATTCTATGGGAAGCCCATTAGAAATCGTCCAAGGGATATGTTTAAGGAGTCCATGGGCTGCTTAGGGCCTAAGCAGTCAGATTAGGGTTTCCTAGTTGTAAACCCTAATAGCCTACATGTATAAAAGGGACCCTTAAGCCCCAAAAACGTGAACAACACTTCCATTAGGGTTTCCAGCCATTTTTGGTGCCTCTTTTTCTTCTCCTCTTCATCCAAGTTGCATATGGTGTTTGTGACTCCATTAGAGGTACTGCACTTGTGGTACTTGCTTTCAAGAGCTAAGGAAATTCAAGGAACTAGTTGTTATTGCTATATAACAACAAAAGGTATGTATTCTAGCTTTATATATGAATTTCGAAAATTATAGTAGCATGCCAGGTTTCTTTTTGTGTTCATAAAGTTGTATAACTAATAGTGAAAACATAGATCCAATACTAGGGTTGCATGCACACATAGGATTGTTTGTATAAGACCCAACAAAAGTTGATATGAGGGATTTTAACATGAGCATTGATACAGAAGTAGAATTCTTGGATAAAAGGGCTAGGAATCCTAGACAACATGAGAGTGATGAAGAAGCAGATGAGTTAGATGTCATTGACAATGATGCTTTTAATTCCATGGATGAGGATTCTGATCAGGACAGGAAGAGAAGAGCAGTTTTGAAACAACTAAGTAAGGGAAAAAGTTGTTCTTTAGGTGAGGTTCATAAGATTCATTTTAAAATAGGTCAAAAGTATAACAATAAGAAGGAGTTGAAAGAGAAAATCAAAATGCATGCATTGGAAACAAAAAAGAATATTGCATTTAAAAAAAATGACAAATCCAGATTGAGGGCCATATGTAATGGAGTTGTGGCATTTAATAATGATGTGGTTGGTGGACCTACCCAAACTGAAAAAAATAAAATGAAGGGAAAAGTAAAGAAAATTACAAACAAGGTGGGACAAGTCAAGAAAAAGCAGATTCTTCTTGTCCTTGGATGTTACATGCCTCGAGGTCTACAGATGCAAGCAGTTGGTACATTAAAACATATGAAAACAAACACACTTGTATGAATACAAGGAAGGTGAGAGCTGCAACAGCAAAGTTTATGTCCAAACAAATCATGGATCAGGTAGAATCCAACCCTACAATCCCAGTTAAAGCTCTCCAAGAAAAATTACAGAAGAAGTGTGGAGTGGGTTTCTCAATTCATAAAGTTTTTAGAGCTGAAGCAGATGCAAAAAAGATTATAGTGGGTGATTACAAAAAACAGTATGAAGTTCTGAGAGACTATATCCTTGAGTTGCAGTCAACCAATCCTGATACCACAGTCAAATTAGAACTTGGAGATGTTTCAGAATCTAATTTGGTAAATTGCACTTCTAGATGTTTCAAAAGAATCTATGTTTGTCTAGGGGGGATGAAGAAGGGATTAAAAGCTTGTTTAGGAGATTTCTTGGGGCTAGATGGGGCTCATATGAAAGGCCCTTATCCATGCCAGATCTTAACTGCAGTTGGATTAGATTCCAACAATGGCATATACCCACTTGCATATGCCATTGTAGAGATTGAAAACTGTGAATCTTGGAAGTGGTTCCTTGAAAGTCTTGGTAATGACTTGGATCTACACGCTATGTCTAATTTCACTTTTGTTAGTGACAGACAAAAGGTAATGGTTGTTTATTTATTATTTTTAATGTTTATTTGTTAATCATGTGTAATTTGTTGCCAGGGTTTGCTACAAGTAGTTAGTCAACTGTTCCCATGTGCTGAGCATAGGTTCTGTCTCAGACATATACATGAGAACATGAAGAAACAATGGAGAGCTAAGGAATATAAAGATCACCTTTGGGATTGTGCCACAACTACAACAGTGCCAGAGTTTAACCATTACATGCACCAATTCAGCTATATGACAAATCAGCATATGAATGGTTGAAGTCAATACCACCACAACATTGGGCAAAAAGCCATTTCACATGTAAGCTATTATGACCCTTTTACCCTTTTACCATTATACACTTTGACCATTTTACCCTTTACACAACATTATGACACTTTTACCTTTTTACCATTATACCCTTTGACTATTTTACCCTTTACACAACATTATGACACTTTTACCCTTTTATATACAGGGAGAGCAACCACAGACATGTTGTTAAACAACCTTTGTGAGGTGTTTAATGGCAAGCTGGTTGATGGGAGAGACAAACCAATTGTTAGCTGCTTGGAGTTTATTAGGGATATATATGATGAAGAGGATATGCAATGTCCTCAAGGTGCAACAAAAGTGTGTAGGCCCACTCACCCCAACAGCAACAAAGATCATGGAGAAGAATGAAGCAATTGTTACTCAGTACATTGCAGAATGGTGTGGTGATGAAAAATACCAAGTCAAAGGTCCTTGGAATGATCAACATGTTGTTGATATGCATGAAAGGGTATGCAGCTGCAGGAAATGGGAATTAACAGGTATCCCTTGCAGACATGTGATTGATTTTTGTATAACAAAGTAGATCATGGTGAGTGTGTACACGAGCTCCATACTTATGTCCACAAGGTGCACTGGCTACAAACTTGGAAAACTGCATATGGGTACAAGGTAGAACCAATTAAAGGTCGGGCACTATGGCCTAGAAGTGAGTGTCCAATGCAGATCACACCTCCCCCACACCGTAATCAACCTGGGAGACCCAAGAGTAAGAGAAGGCAATCCATGGAGGAGAAAAGTCAAAGCAAGAGTCAAAGTCAGAGTCAAAGGTCAGATGTTGGTCCCAGTGAGATTCATGGTCATGGTCCACATGGTAGTGGGAAACTAACAAGAAAGTTTGTTAGTGTGACTTGTAGTAAGTGTGGAATCAAAGGGCACAACTCCAGGACATGCAAAGGTCAGGGAGGGACTTGATGGTCTATGTTGGTTTTATCTTTTGGTTTGACTTTATGAACAAGTTTGGTTTGATTCCTAGATGCAGGATGTCTTTTGTTGCAATAACTTTGTTTTCAATTAACTTATGACATGTATTTTGAAGATGGTAATAGGTATTATGTCTTCAGTATGCTTTTGTGTTAACTACTTATGGATGTATTATATGTTATCTTTAGAAGGTTATGTATGAACAACAGAACAAATCCATAATTGGTCAATAGATACCAAATTTTCATTACCATTACTTTGCATTACAACAATGTTCCACATTAGCAAAAAAAAAACTACTTAAACCAGACACATATACCCCTATCCTATTACAAAAGATAACCACAATCAACCTGTGGACTTACAACAAGAACACCAACACAACAACAAAAAAAAGTCCAACTATAGACTAGGTAATATTTCAACATAGTTGCTTCTTCTTTGATCTTCTCCATTGCTTTTTCATGCTTGCTTGCTTGCTTGTTCTTTTATATCATCCATTGCTTTTCGTAGCTTATTGATTGTCCTAAGCAGCCCTGGTATTATAACTTTGGAACGAGCACACATGGGTTCATCATACCACCCAATAAACCCACATGATGAATTCTTGAAAAAAAGAAGAAATAAACATTAGATCATCAGGGAGCAGTAAGTCAAAATAAAGTGTAACATACTTACCGGGTCGGGACATCCCCAAAATCGGCGCCCTGGGTTGTTATCTGTCCATGATGTCCGAACTATCGCCCACTTTCTACAGAAGCACATCACCATTGTCGGTGGAGAAGATGAAATCACAGGGGGGTGATCGATGGAGAAGATGAAATCAGAGAGGGAGTGATAGTTAGGGCTTATTGCTGGAGACGAGAATAGAGACGTTGTAGTCTCTTTATGGACTAAATAATAATAAAATAATAAAGGGGTTAGATGAATGGATTAAAATACCCTTAAGTGAGAGGGGCATGGGTAATTTAACGGGAGTTTGGTAACGGCTGTTAAGCCATTGGACTAAACTCGCAACAAATAGAAACTATTGGACCATCCTTGCAAGTCAAACCCATTTTGGACCGAACATGCTAGTTTTGACATACCACAGGGACCAAATTTGCAATTTTGTCTTATTTTTTTCCTCCTCTCAGGGCATCACAGTTTTGTACGATGGCTTCCTAAGGCTACTCAAGTGGTTCATCATCTATGAATGATGTAAGCAAGGTATAGAAGGTTTCGTTTAGGAGATGTTAGTATGTACTACCTTTTTTGGCTTGCTTACACCACTTTCAGATGATGAACCACTTGATCGACCTTGTGAATCTGTTGCACAAAATTGTGATTCTTTAGGAGAACATAAGAATAAATTAGTGAAAGTGGGTAAAGATCTATATAAGGGTTCAGTTTAACTAAAATATTTGCTAATTATAATCTTATATGGAAGTCACATAGTTTTTTTATTTTTTGTTTAATCATCAAATGAGAAACATAAACACGTGAAACAAACTAATCAATTGGTTAAATTTGCAACAAAATTATAAACTTAGTGACTTAATTAAAAAAACATAAAGATATCATAATCGAAATCTTATATAAATTCAATGTCTTCTATGCGACATGTCCTATAAAAATACCCAATAAACTAACTAGTTAAGAGTTATTTCTTTGGAATACGATATTACAAAACTTAATATAAGAATTGTGGTAAGTTTGTGAGCAAAAGTGAAACAAGAATCCTAGATCAAAACTTAGAAATGTGCGGGGCCACTCATAAAAATAATAATAATAATAATAATAATAATTATTGTTATTGGTTCTAGCTTTTTAACATGTGTCTTCATGGATAAGCCATGAATGGCCTATATTTGTTTAGTTTAATGATTATGATGTTTGGTGGAAATGACATTGACGTATTTGTTGTTATTCGCGCCTTTGGAATTTACCCCACAATTATTAAAATTTTCCCCATTTTTCCTCATTTATGATCTTTTTGCCCCTTCACTAGAGTGGCTGGTTGGCATTTGGTGGTTGAAAGATGTCGATCACTATATTATTTTATAAAAAAACTTTTTTCCTTAAAGAAACTAGATGAAATCAAACCATATTGTTTTTTCATAATCAAAGAAGATATAAGGCTGGAAGGTGTGGTGCCATCGAAATCGTATTTTCTTTCCCGTCACATAAGAATCATGTAATTTTTTACTATTTGTTTTTTTAACTGTTTTAATTTAATAAAACTTATTTTTTTTAATAAAAAAACATAATTTTAAAAACATAATATTTTATTAATTAAAAATATAAATACCATACATTACTTAACTTTAAAAAAAAACTAAAAATTTAGAAAAACAAATTAGAAACATAAAACCTACAACATAAAAAAAATACACACACACCAAACGATTAAAAACTTGGAAAAAAAAACTAGAAATTAGCCACGATTGATATAATGTTTTTCCACTTCCTCCTTCATCGCTAAAACCAGTTCAAGCTCGGCCCCGATCATATTTGACGTGTCCGTCGCTAGTATTCGCATGTCGCTCTTCCTTTGTTTCCGAAGCTCTCTTTCAGAAGCAATTTGCAAAATCTTGTTCATTCTGTCTTTTATACCCTTCATGTCGGCTCTCATTTCTTTCAAATCATCTGAATCTGACGCTTTGCCTTTGCCTTTATTTTTTGTTTTGTCTCTTCCCATTGGTCGGGAAGGTGGTGAAACTAGAACAAGTTCATCTTCGTTCAGATCAAATTTAACACGAGCATCTGATGTAGTGTGGTCGAACGCAGATGTTCTGCTGCGTTTTGAACCACTGTCGATATGCTCGTCTGATGTTTTGCTACTCAGCTATTTCCTGTTATCTTTCAAAAAATCCAAACTTCAAGAAACTTGAAAGCCTTCATCGCTTTCTCCACTTTGTGTACTCCAAATGGGGGAAGATGAAGAAGGAAGTCATGTTGTTTAATGACTTGTGTAAAACGTGAATCCAAAAGCGGTCATGCTTTTGATCTTTTCCAACCGTCACATCTTCTGAAATATCGATCCAAGATTGTGCCAACACTAACGCTTCCAAAGGTTCCCAACATCTAGCCTCCGCCTTCTCTTTTCTTTTAGTTGCTGCTCAAGTTGGCTGATTTCTGTAACGAATTTTGGTTCAGAATCAGAAACAACCGTTTATGGTTGTGTTTGTGTTTGTTGAAGAAACTCGGGTTGAGACAAAAAATCAAATGGATTAAAATTTGGGTTGGGTTGTGGTAGTGGTGGCGTTTGTGGTAGTAGTTGCGTTGGTCGTTGTGGAAAATACGGAAGCATACCGCCGTAGTGGTAAAACGGAGGTGAGAAAATCGGTTGATCAAATGAAGGTATTGGGGTGTTGGTGTTTTTGACTCGTGTTTTTTCTTTGCTAGTCCCTATGGAAGAAGACATTTTTTCAAAAAAAAATTGGATGAAAAGATTGTGTAAATATTTGTTTAAAGGTGGAGTGAAGGTGGTGTGAATGGTTAAAATGGTTATATATATATATATATATATATATATATATATATATATATATATATATATATATATATAGTTGGAGTAAAGGTTAAAAAAAATTACACGAATCTTCAACGGTCAAACATGGAGGAATGGAACGACCAATCAGGGAACGCGGTCTTCAATGGCAGCACTGCGGTCTTGACCGCACGAAACCGCGCCCTGAGGGCGATGTTCGCGATCCACGTGTCAGCATCACGATTCCAAACCGCACCCACACCGTTAAGCCTAAGAAACTGAAAAATGGAGAATTGTGTATCATCAAGTCGTTGATGTGATGTGCGAGGGGATACAATAGTTAAAGCAAAGGCAAGAGAGTCAGTGGCAGCATACAGAGGTTGGAGATGCCATGGCCCCTTTTTTAAGCAGTTAATATTAGAATTTATGAAAATAATATTAATATACTAATTATTTGAAAATAAAAAACTAATCAACCCTCCAAGCTTTTATCTAAAAAAAACAAGTAATTATATTCTCTAATTATTAAAAAAAATCATAACAATCGTTCTATTGTTAAGAAAGTTAAGCAAATCAAAAACTAATAAAAACAATATCTTATCAAAGGAAATCTAATTTAAATAGGAATAATAAATCTTATCACATCGAACACAAAGTTAACATTCACAACTAACTAATAACTTTATACAAATACAAAAAAAAACACAATTACCGACTCCAATCTTCAAAACAAAAGAAACCCTAAATGTTATCACCGCTGCCATGCAGTAACTCGCCAGAGCTTTTAATCTGACCGAAACCAAAATATTCAGGCTAGATCTTCCCATATTTGAAAACATAAGTCTTCCACCATACCACTGTAATGCAATTTAACGGGCCTTTTTCTGTCTCATCGTCAGGTTCGTTGTCTCCTCTCCACCTGTTTCTTACCCTCTATCCTCGCCGTGTTGTTTGAGCGAAATGCCGACATAAGTATTGCTTTTGTTGTTCGTGCTCTTCTCACCTTCGGAATGAGGTATGCATTACCTCTATATCTATTTTTCAGTCGCTCTAATATGACAAGACTTAGGTAGTGTTTATTTTTTGTCTGTAGATCTGCATAGCCTCTTCTGTCTGCGCCGCGCAGACCACGCCTAGACATTAGTCTTTGCAGACTGTTTGTTTTTTTTAAGACTGTAGACCTAAAAATGTTTGAGCGCCCTCTTCTTGGTGCAGAAGTGGACCAGAGTCTTCTAACATCTTCAGACATCTTCTAGCCTAAAAAAACATATATATCTTTGTTTTTTTTAAGTTTTTTTTAATTTATATTTTTTCCAACTTTATTAATGATAAAAAATTTGAAAAAAAAATTACAAAACTTAAAAAAACGTTCGACAATACAAACATGATATTTTTAACATATTTGTTAAATAAAGATTTATTACAATAATAGTCGTTGAAGTTGTTTATATAAATATGAAATATATATATATATATATATATATATATATATATATATATATATATATATATATATATAATCTTATATTTTTTTTACCAAATTTTATAAAATATTATTTAATGCAGTATCGTCAACTTCTCTAGAAAATATTTATGGTACGTTTTTAATAGATTTAAATGAAAAAAATCGAAGTTTATTTCCGTTAATTAAAATATCAAATTCTTTGATCACTAATTATAATGTTTAGTTATAACTTTGCAACCAAAGTTGTTGGTTTTTATCAAATATATACGTTAATTCATATCATTTTTATTTTTATTTTTATATAATAATACATAAAAGTTGATATATATTCGTTAAATATTTATAACAAAGTCATAAACATATTAAAAAATCACTTTGAAGTTTAAAAAACCAATTTATTTATATTTCAATTTATTGTAGTAGCCCACAAATGTTTAAAAAAAAATAAAAAATAAATAAAAAATAAAAAATAAAAAAATTTCAGACTGCAGACGTTTGGTTCACATTTTCTACTGCAGATATCTATAGATGTAGTCTGCAGACTGCAGACATTTTATCTCAGAAAAAACAAACAACACCTTAGTAATATAGGAAAAACTTTAGAACAAGTAATCTAGTTGTGTATCATAAGGTTGTAGCCTTTATCACAGCAATAGAAGCATAGATTAATAATAATAAAGTTTAATGTTATCTATTTGATATATTAAAAATTTTAGAGTTATAGAATTATAGTAGTACAAGCTAATAATAATAATACGTTAGTCACAAATAATTTTTTACTTCAAAATAAAGACGAAATTTCATAGACTAGCATTAATTTTCAAGCTTTAAAAAAATAGATCGGATCTTAAATTAATTTTAAGGATTTTATAGACCAAATTTTGATATAAAAGAGACGCATTAACTTTGGAGTTGTAAAGAAATTATTGATTATTACTTTTTATTTTATTTTTTATTTTTATCAAAATACTAGTTTTTTTTATGATCAATGTATTATATATTATTATTTTTATTTAATTTTTGATAAATTTTTTTGTAGTTTATATTAAAATGAAAATAAAGTAATTGTAGGTTAATTTTATTTATATAATTTGTATGAAAGTTTATGTTTCGGCTCCTGTAGCATTATTGTTTGTGTTCGGCCCCTACAAGAGAGGAAACCATAAGTAAAGGGAAGCATAGGGTACAAGTCTCCAACACTTTCACATCGTCAGACAACAACACATGTGTCAAGATCCTTGACGAAAAATCAAAAAGGTCAACGGACACATTGTTATCAACACAAAATCGAAGTATGAAAATTAATTTGTTTACCATGTTATTGGAAAGATATATATTTTTAAAAACTAAACTATTATTAGAACAAGGAAAAATGTAGTTACGAGTATAGATAACGGGAAGTAAAACACCATTACCGACCATTATATATTTTGATTTTACAAGATGTAGGGAAGAGGATGATTCCTTGTTTGAAAGTCATATGTGAACTTGCTTTGGAATACATGTAATATTTAGGGTATTGTGATTATTGAATTGATTATTGAATTGACAGGGCTAGAAATATGGAAGCGAGATCAGTAAATTGTTCATTTTGAGATGTTATGTGACCACCAAAGTTAAAATTAGGAGGTTGGTTGTACCTGCTTTGTAGGACAGGACAATGGCATAAATGGAGTTACGAATCCGCCAAAGTAGGTTGTGGGCCATCGTTGGGACGAAATATGTCGATCAGAAGTTATTGATGGGAATTAAACCCACTACCAACTGGCTGCTGTTGAAGGCTAAAGGTATCAATGTGTTGCGGTTGGGCCTGAAAACAACCAAGAGCTGATGTGGCAATCCGAAGGAAACTACGGCTACTAAAATGGTCCATAAGTGGCCGTCGAATGCTGAGAGGGACCGAAAAGACCATGTTAATGTTGATATCGGCCAAGATTGTGGGACGATTGCTAAAAAATCATAATAAGAAAGAGGATTGTCAGGGTTGTGTTGATCCATGTTATAATTACCTACAATGAGGTTAGTATGAGTAGATTCAACAGAATTAACCTCATTCCCTTGGGGAGCACTTCTACGATTATTTTACGTTTATTTGATCTGTTTCTCGACCTCTCACATAGCATAGTATTTGAATAAAATGGATGGGAGGACGGCAATGAAGAATCATTAGTCATGTCAATAGTTTCTTTATGAAATTTGTATAGAAATAACATGTTTTTCGCCTCTAAAAACAAAGGAAACGAAATTATGTTTGTAATAACATCTATAAAGTTGTGGTAAAATATAGGCAATTATCTTAAAATTTGCATGACAGCCTCAATTTTAGTCATTGAATAATGAATTGGCAAGATATTTGAGTGAGTAACATAACTTATTAATGGAATTAGAACCTTACCTTGTGTCATGGAATTAATTTTATAAGTGAACCGTGCAAGACATATTGTCGTTAGGGAGAACTCATGTAGTTTGTCCCACAAGTCCTTAACGATGCAATTATCACTAGATATGATTTATGGAAGATTTGCATCACATGTAGAATAGAATCACGATTCTATATAGGAGTTAACAACATCCAAGTCTTCATCATTATCACATTTTGGTTTAGAAGTGTTAGTAGGCATTTGTGAACTTTAACACGTTCGCACACGTCCAAAAAAGATCGATGCCACAATTTGTATTTGGATATGTTAATGGTTAGTAGACGACATGGTATGGCATTGGAGGCGACACTTGACGACATGGAAAGAAGTCGAAAATCAAAAGATAAAATAACAATATAAAGATAGAAAGCTCGGATGTAGCAGAGAGATTGTAGCAAATGGTCACCTAGAACCGATTGTTGGTGTGAGATATAAGAGTCCAAAGAGAGATCCAAGGTGGAGGGTAGCAGGGGAAATGCCTCATGAGGAGGGGCATTTGATTGGTTGTATGATCGGATAAAAAATCAGTGTGCGGCGATTGCTGAAATCACCAATGAAAGTCATTGTACATCGGTTGCAGAGATTGAAGTGACAGGCGGCGGCGGCGGCGAGTGGTGTAAAAATGAGGCTGATAAGGAGGCAGTGGAGGAGATGATTAGTCAATCGACTCACCTCGATACAATGTTCGATAATGTATAAAACTTGTTATGGTTGGTATTTCATTAGTTTTATGTGTGTGTGTGTGTATATATATATATATATATATATATATATATATATATATATATATATAGAGAGAGAGAGAGAGAGAGAGAACTAGGTTCAAATGTGGATTGACATCTATTGTATGGACATGTGGACAATGCTATTCTGTGAGAATGACAAAGAAAATATGTTGTTTGATAATACGAATACGTTCAATCTTATATAATTATTATAATTATTACGCACTTTCACTGATTAAATCGTGTATAAGGTTATTATAGACTTTTTTTAATTATTCTCATTCTGTCAGAATGTTATCAAGATGTTTATTGAGTCGTATTCTGTAAGAACGAAAATAAATGAAAAACGATGTATGAGAACAAAAATAAATTAGAATTAATGAAAATCCATTAAAATAACAATTTCTATGATATTGAACATATTCACATTACTAAATAACATATTCTCTTAGTAATTCTCCTAAAATAGCGTTATCCACACGTCCACACAATAATTATTCATCCACATTATAACCTAGCCCTATATATATATATATATATATATATATATATATATATATATATATATATAAACAAATGATAATTAGCAATGAAAAACGTGTATGCATGAGTACATTAAAGTTATATGTTGTATATAAGGGTATTAAAATGGGTTAATATATACATATATTTTTTTATCAAAATGATTAATACGTGGATATGTTGTCTATAAGTGTTTATATATGGGTTAATCATAAATGAATATAGCATTATAATTTTTAATTTTCTCTAGACATACAAACAATTATCACCAAAATCATTGTAATGTAAAAAAATTTAAGTAACATGAAACAAAAAGTTGATAAGAGTATAAAATGTATAAAAAAAACAAGCATAAATTGTTAGTAAAGCACAAACAATAGTTTAATGTAATCCTTCTGCTCAATGCTAAGATTTTGCATAACTATGAACAAAGTCTTTGATGAAGTACCCATTAGACCTTCTTCTGGTATGGTATGTCAATGTCAATGTCAATGTCAACGTCAAACACTTCCACTGACGCCCTTTGTTTAGGTTTCCTATGTTCCTCTTAATTTTCTTTCCTTTCTATTTGATAAATTATTGTCATTCTTTATGTTTTTACACCTCGGGTTGTAATACTTGCTGCTCCCTTTTCTTTTCATTTACTAAAGGTTTTAGAGCTTCAAAATCATAGTCTGAAATGGCTAGTAACTTCT